CCGCCGCGCTGTGCAGAGATGCAGGGGAAACCGTATCTGATGGGGAAACGCAGCTCGACGTAACACCAGCATTTCCATCTGAAAGGCGCTGTTTTCCGCTGGAGTCCTCCTGACTCTCCATCAAACAATTGAGAATCACACCTACAGTATTAGTGGGTGACATGCACCGAACTGATTCATGTGTTACAGGAGAGATGCCGTAGTAAATATGTTAGCATAGATCCTCAAAGGGTCACATACTGGCAGCTGAACTTCTATTATCAAAAACTTCACATCACAGGAAGGAGAAAACAGAAATTTGTTTACATGTAGCTCTAGGTGAAAAAATATTGGTATCCATCTGTTAAGTTATAAAATTTCGGCATATCAGATATCAGTCAAAACTCCAACACCGTTAAATCCTAAAAAATTTTTATAGAATTTTATTAAAAGTAAGATTAGTTTTCCGGTTTTATTTGTTATTACTTTAAATTGTTAGATTTTACTATGATCTGTACCTGGGTGCTAATTATACACTCACCATGTTGCTTTTTGTGGGGTTTTATTTGAAATGGATCAAAAATCTAAGAAAAAAAATTAAAGCATTTCCTAAAAACCCAAAATCTTGACTGAAGTTGCTATTACAGCCCAACTTATCACAAACAAAAAAAGCACCAACAGAGATATTTAGATCTTGTTTTGCTTTAGCAGAAACAGGTTTATGTTAATAGATTTCTAGGAAGCTGTTGCGACCAAGTCTGCTGTGGTCCTAACCTTTAAATTTTTAACAACCCATGTTAAATATTTAGACGGAAAGTCTCTGAGGTCGTGCTGTCAAACTGTCAACTCTTCAGCGTCAAGTCTGCAGGCTTTAAAACATCCTGACCCTTCAGACTTAGAAGGCCCATTTTTAGAAGGTCCAAAATGCGGTTTGACCCTTTAGACCCATTTCACTAAAATAACAATTCCCCATCCACTAAAACTGATCAGATATTACAGACTGTACAGTTTTACAGAGATAGTTTGTGTAAAAACACCTTAATTTAGAAAATAACCCTCCAATAACTCAGATTAAAGGATAAAATAATTTAGATATATTAAAAACAACAAGGCAAATGTTTTTCTGTCTTGTTTGGGTTTATATAAAACCAGATTTACCCAGACTAACAGATACTACAAATTTAATCTGCAGCGCCATCAACATGTTCAGACACATGGACCGACGAGTCCTCTGACACAGCTCCTGCTTCCCTCTCCACGGATGCCATGGTAACCAGTCTCTGAATAATGGGAGAAGGCTGACGCTTCCAGCCATGAGCCTAGAGCGAGCAGAGCAGGATGACATGGAAGGGCCTGGGATTTTTCGAAAAAAACCCAACAGACATGATGTTCAAATATGCAGCAACAGTTTGAAGAAAACAGCAGCTGAGATTTCCGTCTGTGCAACGTCCTCTCTGCCCTCCTCTTGATTCATTACCGTGCTGCTATGTTGCTCAAGTTGAAGGGTGGAGAAGGATTCTGGGTGCTTTGGTGATGTAAGAGGGGATTGATGCTCAGACGGCATAAACCACTAAAGCATCTGTTTAATTCTACAGTGGGAGTAACTGTTGCAAAGCAGCTGATTTTTATAGAGCCTTCACTTTCCTATTATAAATATATCTGGGTGTTAAAGTCAGGCCTGCTATTAGTTCACTGAACCAATGCTTGAAAGGTATCATCAATGCCCCATGGGGGGCTGGGAAGGTGGTCCAGCTATAGAAATATCCTCCGACTCCAAGTAGGAGTCCTCAAGTGTCCTGCGACCTTTAGTAGTGTCTCTGCAGAAGCACACCAGAATCATATGGGTAATAATTAGTGTTGCACAGATTCCAGTATCCGGCGGGCCCTGATCCAGCACTAAAATGGTGGTATCGGTATCGGCGAGTACCAACAAATAGGGCACCGATACCATTTTGAGAGCCAAAAGTTTATTCAACTATTGTCACCCACTCCTGGTAGGCAATAAAAAGTCCTACTGGATTCACTTTGTTTTAGTCTTTTTCCTGCTTCACAAAGGTAGGCAGCAGCTTGACAAAGCCATGATGGCAATTATTTTACATCCCAGTAGTATGAAGTTCTTCATCTTTACACACACGCATCAATTTCAAACAAATGGTATTGGCCAATACTGCACAGCCAGGTATCGGTGCCAAAAAATGCCATCGGTGCAGCACTACTAATAATGACTGGGTGCTGTCGAGGTTATACAGGGGCGTTCGAGGATAGAAGTGGGAGCTCTCTGATCTAGAAGAGCAGAAAGCCAGATTATTACCATCACTGAAAGGCATAATGGAGGTCATTGGAGTTTGCGGTCAGTTCCATATGGGCTTTGTGGATCTGGAGAAGGCTTTAGCAGAGTCCCTTACCGGATTTT